TTTTACCTAAAATGATTGTAAAATCATAAAATAAATAGAACATTTGTCGTTTTGTCGTGAATAACATATTTTATTTCATCTCTAAGCAAGAAAACGTTTATATTTTCACTCATGCTACGCATTCGTGAAAATATAAGTTTTCTTGCTTCTCGATGAAATAAAATATGTTATTCACTCTAAAACGACAAATATCCTCTATATAACTGCCATATTGCATTATTTTGGTTAAAATATATCTGAAAAGTTACAGATTATGCCCATCTTATTAAATAGATGTATTACTACAACTACTTTCGACAATTTAAAAAAAATAATATTTTTGATAATTTTCCAACTTTTTCTCTTTCCGAGTTTTATGATTTGACTCGATTGAAAACACAAAACTCGGAAAGGTCGGAAAAAATTGTCCGACTTTTTTGTTTGAATAGGAAACTCGGAAAATATTTTCCGACATTTCAGTTTGAAACAAAAAGTCAGACAATGTTTTCCGAGTTTTGTGTTTTCAATCGAGTCAATTCATAAAACTCGGTGAGGGGAAAAGTCGGAAAATATTTTCCGGGTTTTCCGAGCTTTCCGAGTTTTGTACCTGACCCAATTCGGTATATCTCAACATTTTTTAGCTACGTTCTCGTAGCTAGTCCGATCCCGGTATTTGTGTTGGTCGGGTCGCGGGTTCGAGAAAGTTTTACTACACTAGGATCTGGAAGAGTTGTTATATAACCCGCGTTCTGGATGAAGTGAGAGATTAGCCAATGAAAAGGTCTGTTACGGTGAGTTTTTGGCGTGAGTTGCACGGAACTGTGGGTAAGCCACTAGAAACATCAACGCTCATTGGTTCATCAAATTCTGGCATCATAGGGTCAAAAGCCGCTCGTATGACCTCTGAATGACCTCCCACTACAACTGGTCAGATCTTCATGTAGTAGAGGCCAACGAAAGTATAAAAAACGAAACGAAATATAGATTGACGAAAGGGGGGGGGGGGGGTATATTGAAGGAAAGGGGGGGGGGTGAAGGCATGGTACTCTGGATCATATGCTAAAACTAGCATAAAAATCGGGTGCGTACTTCTAACTATTCGGGCAGTCACGGTGACTCATTCAATAGACTGTAGCACTTCTGGGTCTCAGAATTCAACGTTGTGGTTACTGTAGTTCAGGTTCTTTTTCTTATCTTTATTTCTATAAGCATAGAAGCAGTTTGTTAATCACAAATCTCCCTCATTTTCAAGGAAGTACATATGGTACCTACACCCTCATTGCTTTACATCATAAACTGACCACGTGGAATAGACGTCATATCTTGCACACCAGGGGGGGGGGGGTTGTTGCCTAATTTGGTCAACAAAATACATTCCATGACTGTTGATGCAGTTTCATAACAAGAGGGGGGGGGGCGGAAAAACACAAGGGGGCGCAAAAAATCAAACCCATGACGCAAAGGTTAGTGCTAAATGATAAAGCCAGTTCAATTTTTCGTTATAGGTCACGAGATGTAAACAGGGGCAATGGCTAATCCCAACCCTAACCCTAACCTCAATGCTTACCCTAACCCTAACCTACAATCTCGCCTATAATCACGTGCATAGGCGTACTGGGAAATTTTTGACTGGGGGGGGCGGTGGTGGTTGGTGCCCAAAAAATGTAGTTAGGTTCTTAGTATGTTACATAATAGTAATAAATTTGCTGTTAAATTGGACACATTCAAGAACACAATATTTTTTTTAATACAAATTTTACAAAGTACAATTCTGTGCCCAAATTTTCCCAGCATTTGGTGCCCAAAATGGGGGGCGCCCGATGAATCCCCTCCATAGCATGCTAAATAACGTATGTCAGTCTTCATTATCCGGTGTTCGATCCCTGCATTGGCCGAGAAAGTTCATCCAGATTTTCCGGCGTGGTTCTCCCTTGTCAGTGATGCAGGACGGGAAGGGGCTGACAAGGAAAGCTGTCTAGTCGTTCGGATGGGACGAAAAACCGAGGCCCCGTGTACACATCGGCGTGCACGTAAAAGATCCCTTGGCAGTTGGAATTGGATATAAGAGTAGGCCGTAGCGCCGCTGTTCGGGCAAACTTTCCCTCATAGCACACTGTATGGCGTATGCCCGTCTTCATTAGCCCAGTTCGGACCAAAACAGTAGGACGTTAAATCCGGTTTTATTTCATTTCATTTCTTCATTATCCTGCTTGGTGCAGAAAAGCAGGACGTTATTAAAACCCCATTTGATTTCACCAGAGCAGTGGCGAACCTCGAGTTTGTGACGCCCACCCAGGGTGGTCCTCGTGTAACAACACTACAGTACATGATCCTTACAACCTATCTGTACAAAAATCACTGTAGTATGAAGTCATAAAAACTTAACACAGGGTACAGTTTTATGGATACACAATTACTGAGTTTAAAGAGATATTCCCAGACAGATTTTGGACAATAAAACTGCTTAATTTCGTGTGAAAAGCCCTTAATAACCCCTAACTTAGATCCGAGCAACTGCCTCAAACCAAGTGACCCCTCTCGTCTTTATGAAGCAAATGATACAGGTATGTGAATAGTAGGCAACTGTATAATTATATACACACCTGTATTATTTGCTTGATAAAGATGAGAGTATCCTCGTCGAAACGTCGCTTAGTATTAAACTCAGTAATTGTGTATCCATAAAATTGTACCTTGTGTTTACATGTTCAATTACTAAATGCCAATCAAAGAAGATACATGTAATAAAAACTTGTCATCACAAAACTCTTTTGTTGTTAGTGACCAGGATGGATGAATAATCTTCACTCGTCGATGACATTCATTGTACTGGTAATACTCGGTTCCCACTATCACGATTCGGGCTACGATTGAAATCGTGGTTGTATTCGTGGAGTAATAGCGGTAATCGGGTCTTATCGTAGGCCAGTGCCGCCAGTCGTGTTGATCGTGGACTGAATCCTATCGGAACGCATCGCACGATAGTGATAATCCACCATTACAAAAAGGAATGATAATAAACAGATTTAAAATTTTCTCTTTTTTCTATTAAAAAGGGTGTCAGCTACAGTTAACAACTTCACACCAAAGAAAACCCTTTTAAATTGTCTTATGAAAGGGGCCATTATACACCAAAACGACCTATATAATCCACATATCAGTTCATAGAATTTCAAAGGGTCGTTCTACTTTTATACATTTTCTGCTTCTGAAAGAAATCTAAGCCGGAAGATTATCGACAGAAAAGTCTATTATTTAAGAGCTAAATCTGCCTAGTGTAGGCCTTTCTTTGGACCTTAATGTTATTTAAAATATTAATTAAGACATTTATTAAAACGAAAACACTATAATGAACTCTCGATGTACATTACGATCAATTCACGTTCAATGCACATATTTTGTCAAAACAACAACTATTGATAAATTCGCTCAAAATAATGGAATTTGAATGGAATTTGTATTATATTCATTTTGCATTATCTATTTTTGAAATATTATAGCAAGAATGGTCTGCTCTTTATCTAAATCTTACATAATGCCCCTTTAATCCAATGTTAAATATTCAATTTGAATACATATTTATCTTTGATTAAACATACATTATACAAGACCTAAATCTGCCAATTGCAAATCTTTCTTTAGGCCTGAAATGTGATATATGTATAACTATTAATTAGAACTTAATTAACTTATCCAGGCCATAATCAACTCTCGATGGCATCAGATTTCTCCGATATTAAACAGACATTATGCAAGAGCTAACTCTGTCTATTGCAGGTCTTTCTTTAGGCCTGAAATGTTATCTTTATTGTTAATTAGACATTAATTAACCTATTCAGGTCATAATCAACTCTAGATGACATTGCTAGGCTGCGATCTTAAGTGGATTATGAGCCGATTTACTGCATAACGTTCCTTCACGATTTAATGATTAAATGGATAATCGAGACTATGCTGTTTATCGTACTGACTTTAGTAATGATGACCGGGGCTAGGCGGAAATTTCAAATGCTTAGTTCTCGGTTCATAGTGGATCAATTTGAATGAAATTTTCAACAAATTGCTTTTACATTATCTAGTTTTTAACAATTATAGTGAGAACTGCCAACTCGTTATCGAATCGCACATAATGTATCTTTAAATGTTTGTCAAGATACTAATCTCTAATAGTTTTTAAGTTCAATTTGTTGTACAATAAACAGTTTGCCACTAGTGACTTAAATTAAATAGTTAAACATACATTATGCAAGAGCTAAACCTGTCTATTGTAGGTCTTTCTTTAGGTCTGAAATGTTATCTATATTATTAATTACACATTAACTTATGCAGACCATCATCAACTCTCGATGCCATCGCTAGCCTGCGATATTTAGCGGATTAGAATACATTTTTTGAAAAATAATTAAATCGTAAAAATGGCTAATCGAGACTTTGTTTTTTATTGTATCGTCTTTAGTAATGATGATCAGGATAGCCTAAAATTCAAAAGCTAATATCTCGGTTCATTGTGGAGCAATTGATTGAAATGTCCAGCATATTCTATTTTATTTTTTAACTATTTTAGAGAAAACTGCCAACCCTTTATCTGATCTGCCATAATGCCCTTTTAAGCTGTGAAAAATTTTCCAGTCTGGTTTCTCTGTGTTTGTGGTACCAGGCAGTAAAGAAACCAAGATTGGGAACTTTACTGAATGTTAACTGTGTTCTTCAATCAGCGTTGACGTTTCTAGTTGTTTTGCTATAGCATATGGTTTCATTGGCTAATCCCTCACTTCAACCAGAACGAGGGTTGTATAACAACTCTTTCAGATCCTAGTGTTGTGAAGACAAGTCAAACAAAATTTTGAACTATAAAATAACGAAACGAAATAGGATCTGTGTTTGAATCAGATTGATGGGTTCTTGTATGTGCACAATAATGCACACAAATGTCGACCTTGGTTTTTCTTCCTGGACAATTCGAGTGTCAGACCTGAATGGTGCTAACAAGCTTTTGTAACAAAGGGGCATAACTCAAAAAAGATGATATGAATCTTTTTATTTTACACTTAGAGTGAATAATTCTTTATCATGTTTGAAAATCAATCATCGAATATTGTTTAAATATATTTTTTTTTTTTTTTTTTTTTGATTGGTATTGGCGTCAACCTTTCAATATATTGTACACATAAATGAGTAGTGTCAGACACTAAAATTAAGCGTAATATTGTAAATTGGTTTTCTTCTTAGCTTGAACTTCTATAATGGCATCCATATAATCTTCATGACTTAATTCAGCTGCTTCTCTTCGTAATGCAATCATACCCTGAAACACATCAATAGGATAAATACTTAAAGATACCTTCCCACTTACAAACTAGGTGATTCAAGATACATTCCCACTTACAAACTGGGTGATTAAAGATACCTTTCCATGTACAAACTGGGTGATTAATTATACCTTCCCACTTACAAACTGGGTGATTTCATGATATATTCGGACTAAAATATAAACATATTCAAACTAATTAATCTAACAAAAATTTAGTTCAAATCCCTTTTACAACATTGCATTCACAAGGAAATACGCCAGGCTACAAAAATCTATTAAACGAAGTCAAGTTTGTGTTGAGTAACTTGGCTGTCGCGGTAACTAGCAATTCATTGCGTATAAAAAACAATGTCTTTAATCGCTCTTCATTTACCATAAATATCGAAACCTAAATAAGTTCTCGGATTATCCCATACCTACGTCTTTTTCCGCGTATTTTATCTAAGAAACAATTGTACATTTTTAAGTCTCTTTTTCCACGCCCGCTTATTATCAAGTTTATCAACATATACATCAACAGCCATAACGCAAAGAGGCCAGACAATCTATGCATGCAACTTTTGACGTCACTCAAGCAGACAGCCCTTAGTGACACCCTCTCATTTTTGTCCTATACATACATGCTCCATAAGTGTTTTTCAAGGAATCTAGTATTTTTCTAGTAAGACTGGATGTCTCTACTTTAAATATACATGTGTACATGTAATAAATTGCCATACTTTTATTGAAAATAACAATAATAATTCATACCAGATTAATTTATACAACAATTAAAATAGCAATAAATACTATAATTTATCCTACAATAAATATGATAATTTATACCAGATTAATTTACACCACAATTCAAATAACAATAAATACAATAATTTATACCGCAATAAATACGATAATTTGTGCAATTGGTTCATGAATCTCTTAAAACCAGTGACCCGAAACAAACCCTGGTTAATCGGGAGCAGGTTCTTTAAGTCAAACATACTAAAAGGTTATTGAGATTTTAACATTTTGAAAAGGAAATTAACAATCATAAATGAAATGACATGCGACTTAATATCCTACTTTTTTGCACCACTGGCCAAATGAAGACCATCATATACCGTATTATGACGGGAAATTTGTCTGGACAGCGGCATTTTTAGCACCTCTTTTCAAACTACCAACTAAGAACATAGGACCTTGTTTTTTCATAACATCTTGAGGGACTAGACTCTGTTCTTTGTTAGACCCTCTGTTCTACTCTACTGACAAGTGGAAACAGCACTGGAAATACTTGAGGAATTTTCTCAGCCTACAATTGGAGAGAGACGAGAGAAATGGGGTTTAACGTCCACTCGACACAAACAAGGTCATTTCGGGACTAACACATGGTTTAACTTTATTTAAATAATTCGCTCGCGAGTAGGGGTCTTTAGCAGTGGGAGGAAACCGAAGGACCCGGAGAAAACCCACTAGTTTGGACAGGCGACCCTACTCCTTGTCACGTACAACCGGGGATTCGAAACCACGCCAGTTGACTCAATGACAGACTTTATGATACAGCGCGCACGTGCTGACCATTCGGCCATCCAACCCCACTTCGGAGAGAGACTCCCCGAGCTCTTGGTTAGTCAATAAGATCTTGATAAGCAATCTGATTAAAACACAGATCTATATTTTGTTTCTTTTTTTAGACTTTCAATGGCCTACATTACATGAAGATCTGACTAGTTGTAGCGAAAGGTCGCATCAGGGATCATACGAGCAGCTTTTGACCCTATGGCGTCAGGCATTTGATTAACCTAGTGGATGTTACTAGTGGATTACCCACAGTTCCGTGCTAAACACGCCTAAAGCTCGCTGTAACAGACTGTTTCATTGGCTAATCCCTCACATCATTCAGAACACGTCAATGATAACAACTCTTTCAGATCCTAGTGTAGTAAAGACAAGTAAAACGAAATTTTAAACTATAAAAACAAAAATAATAGGATCGGTGTTTTAATCAGATTGGATGAGTGAATGAATTTGTTCCACCATTACCCCTATGACATATATTATAATACAACCCACAGTAGAGACATATTTTATTGTCATTATAAAGTTTAGTAGTAGATAAGGAGAAACACCAGGAACGCATCCATTACATATATAAAACTTTCTAATTAATTAACCAACTTAGGATCTCAGACACACGTATTTATAAATCTCTATAGCTGTATTAGCATCAAGCATAATCCAGGCCCAGACAACATAACGACAGTCTAATTAATCTAAGCGTTTCACGATATACCTGAACACAATGTTACCTGATCCTGACATATTTACAGGTGACATCTATTACAGGTGATCATGACATCATTCCCTGTTAACAATATCATTATAATGCTGAGCAGATTAACAGTGAATCATCCATCATTTAAATCCAGTTCGACCACAAACCCTGGACAATTTGATTAAATGAATGGCGCTTACTTGTCAGCAATAACCATGCTAATAAAGACAGCCATACCAGTTGATACCGTTGACTAATAAAGCTAGGCCTTTTAGTAATGACAATTTTTGTCATTAAATCATGTAAGTGGTCATTTTCTAATCTAATGTTTGTAGTAGTATAGAAAGTGGTTAGAAATCATACGTCTATTTGATGTCAACATAACTATGCAATACAATTCAGCTTATTTTATCAACAATTACGGCTTTAGGTCACACTAAACCAATCCGGCCCCTACGATATCACCCTTGGTGGAAGTGGACGTAAAACTTCAGGAACGAACAAATCTGGCCCCGAGTACACAAAGCATTCTCGGACTTTAGTTCAGAATTTACTCGAAATTGTTCGTCTTATTTTAACTAAAATATGGCCCTTTATAAAACATCTGTTTTTAATATATCAAATACATTAATAAGAAACTATGTGCAAAGTTTTGTTTTTCTGGATCAAAGATATTTCTCATAAACAGTGGTGATTGAAAGTTGAGTAAATTCGTAACTTAAATCTGAGAATGCTTTGTGAACTCGGGGCCTGTTCTTCAGAAACTGTCACTAATAATACAATTTTGCTCTCTATTTTTTTAGGAAAATTTAATTAAAACTGAAGCTCACATGCAGCTATTATCAAATTGGTTATGAATTTTTTATTTAAATGGATTAACTGATATATTTCTGTAATTTTTTTATACAAGACATATTTTTGCAGTCGTATTTATCAGATGTATTGTCAAACCAGAAGTTAAAGGGACCATCCTGATTTTAACAGAGTCTCAGAAATAAACGTCTGTGTACGTATGAAATTTATCCGGACACACAACCCTTTTAAGATTTCAGGTCAATTTTTTCATTGGGTGACCTGATAATCGATTCCCATTCCTTTAGAGGTCTATAAAGTGCATGACCAACGTGCAGTACTTGATAATCAAAGGTAAATTTTGCCTAAACATTATTGTTATAAAGTTTAAGTCTTGTTTATATAGATACCATATAATACAGCTTGGGACACAGGTCTCCATTTCCAGATGAAGACTGACAGGTTTAATTTGTATATTGAGTTAGTTGCTTGACCCCAAGGTCGAGGATTTTAAGGGCTTTAACACACAATTAAGCAGTTTTATTCTCCAAAATATAATCGAGATTGACCCTTTAATGTGAACATGAAATTAATACTTTAGTCGTGACTCGTAACTAGTCGCATTAATTTCTGGTTCTCCAAGTACAAAGTACATACAAGTAGACAAGACATTTACCTAATAAACATCTACCCCAAGTTTCAATATTCTACCTTAAAGGGACAATAACACTCTTGATGGATTGATAGCTGCAGAAAATAAAAAAATGGCCTTATTCTAAGTACTAGATGTGTTAGTGTCCTACCTGTTGTGTAAATTATCCATTAAATCCTATTTTACTTGTCCAAAGGGTTCAAAATATTTTTAAATCCAAGTCATATTTAAAAAGGTTTACGTAAGGCTTTTCAAATCATTTAGTTGAATTTTTCCAAATTTCTAATTTAGGTGTGTTAAGATGAAATTTGTATCATCAATTAATTGGAATATTGTAAAATAGTACAATTTGTTGACCAGAATAAAGAATGGGACATATTATTCAGTTACAACAAGAGTGGTATTGGGTCTTTAATTACAAGTAGAGTTATTGTATATATCCAAAAGTGTGACATACTGGCTCATTTGAAAGGTGGTGACTAATAAGTACATCACTATATTGTGACAGCGATTACTACATATATGCCAGATGTTTACAAGTCAATTTTCTGATCATCCTTAAAGCTAGAGCCATTTTTCTTTCTAATAAAAATATAGATGTTTCTCCCGAGGTGGATTTCAACAAATAGGAGGGAGAGAGAAATGGGGTTTAATGTTCAGTCGACACAAACAAGGTCATTTTGGGACTAACATATGGTTCAATTTTATTTCGATAATTCGCTTGCACATAGAGGTCTTTCGGAGGACCGGGAGAAAACCCATCTGGTTGGACAGGCGACCCTACTCCTTGTCACATACAACCAGGGAATTAAAACCACAACAGTTGACTCAATGACAGATATTATGATACAACGGGCACATGTTAACCATTCAAACCCTCTGAACGAATAGGAGTAAAAAGACGGCACTAAACTCAGCACAAGCATGCTTGGATTTATAAGGCCGCCCCTAAGACTTTTTTTTTATAAAATTACAGGTAATAATTATAGTATTATTACAAATACAGTTTATTGTTCATTTTTGTTTACAATTTTTATTGGTTATGAATTGAGGGGCCCCACACCTGAAGCATCCGAGATCCCTTTAAAAATCTAAATCTGGTCCATTATCAGTTTAACTTAGTTATACGACAGGTCTGTGTCCGATTGTTAAATTAATCTACAGTTGATCCTATACCAACATTTACGATGGAGAGTAAAAAATAACCTGGGGTTCCCGTTTTCAGTCTCTGCGTTTGCAGAGAAAGAACATCGTGATTTTCGGCATGGCTCCCACTTGTCACATTGGCGTGCACGTAAAAGAACCCTTGGCAGCTGCAATTTGATACAAGAAGAGTAGACCATAGCACAGCTGTCCAGTCAAAATTTCTCTCATATGGCGTAAGTCCATCTTCATTAGCCAAGTCGGAGCAGAACAGAAGGACATTAAACCCCATTTCATTTCATTTACAATGGAAATTAAGATGGTGTTGCAGTCGTTGTTGTTTGTATTTTAGAGGAGAGCCGAAAAAAGCTCTCCTTAATCAACAAATTTATAAGCATGAGAAATGATTCTGAAGATCAATAACTGCATATTCGGGGGTTATTCCTGGATTCATAAATGATAATAAACCCCCATGACTTTGTAAAGGGGAGCAATTTTCAGTTTTAAGGAGAGGGGAAAAAAAACTCTGATCGGTCTCCTTAAAAAACAATGACTGGTGTTGTTTGATCTTTAAATTAATCTTTAGTTGATCCTATATATCATTCACATATATACCAACATTTACAATGGAAATTAAGATGGCATTGTCTGATCTTTAAATTAACCTTTAGTTGATCTTAATATAATATTATATCATTCACAATATCTCATATATACAATGGACTAATTACTAATGTAGAGCCAGGTGTTACATAAAGAGAGAGTATGTTATATAATTATAATGGATGGTAATTATTATTATTCCTTTCATGATGACTAACTGATCAGACTATTGTTTAGTTGTCACACGTTCTGTTGTTCAAATAGTCAATTGAGATATGGTGTCAATACCAAATGATTTAATTAGTAATCTTTCCTCAAGCTTTCTTATCATAATGTAATTAATGAATCTACAACAATTATAGTTAATTATCTATCTATGTTATAAAACTTAGCAGTACTGGACAGGAAATGGTTTAGAGTGTCATGCTTCGACCTCTAGCTGGCCGGTCACCTCTGGCTTGTGGTTTCAAACCTTGGTGTAAGCGTATGTGGCTTGGAGACAGGGGCACCTTCTCAACCTTGTGGGTTTAATCCTGGGGCCTGTTTCACGAAATTGTAACTAAGATAAAATCCAAATTTTAGTAATTTAATTGGATAATATTAGATTGATTTTAGTGTTTAGCCAATCAAAATTGAAGTATCCACTAAAATTTGGATTTTATCTTTAGTTAAGATTTTGAGAAACAGGGCCCAGGTACTTTGGTTTCCTCTCATATGAAAAACCCCTGCGCTTCGCTAGGATAAAAATAAAAATAAAGGCAACTTGTCTGTGATATCACCTTTTGGTGGAAGCGGATGTTAAACACTAAGAACAACAACAAGACACGCTTGAGACTGACTTTGTGTGCAATGGGATATGGTCAAAACCCCCTCCCGTCAGAACCCCTGCTGGTCAAAACCCCCGATTTTCATTTCCTAGTAGAAAGCAGATTAGGTTATGACCTAGGTGGTTTCAACCTGAGGGTTTTTTGACACGGAGCCATGTGCAATACCATCCTCTGGGGAAGTGACACTAAAGTCCACATCTGAACTAATGTTGAAAGGGAGTCCATATTTATAGATAGAGTTTTACTTTTAATTTTAGGGTTTTTTGTTAGGATAAAAAGGTTAAATCCAATATGTCAGCTCTGTTTCTGTGAACAAACCATTACTCAATACTGTGAACTCATTACTCAAACCATTACTCAATAATGATTTCTTTGTATAAAACTCCTTTGTGGGGATCACAGTGGCTCAGTGGAGGTCGGGTGTTCGATCTCTGCATTGGCCAAGAAAATTCATCCATATTTTCCGGCGTGGTACTCCCTTGTCAGTGATGCTGGATGGAGGACCGACAAGGACAGTTGTCTAGTCGTTCTGATGGGACAAAAAACCGAGGTCCCGTGTACACATTGGCATGCCCGTAAAAGATCCCTTTACAGTTGGAATTTGATATAAGAGTATAATATAATATTTTTCTTTACATAATTTATAATTTCAAACAATGTATTTATATTTTTGTAAATAGTTTATATAAGCCCTGGCTTGTTTTTCAGATCATAGATTTATATATTTTATTTTTATAACATGTAAATATTTATTGAAAAACAGAACAACAAATCCCTCAAAACTATTGTTAATAGATATAAATACATGTATATAAGTATACATGAGTAACTCATAACTCAAGCAACTCTAACCACAATGAGTAAATCATAACAAAAGTAGCTCCAACCACAATGTGGCTGACTTCACAACACAACACAACTCTTACCACAATGTCGTTGACTCAACAACATGAGTAACTAATAACACAACCAACTCTAACCATAATGTCATTCACCCAACAACATGAGTAACTCAGAACACAACCAACTCTAACCATAATGTCATTCACCCAACAACATGAGTAACTCACAACATAACCAACTTAGCAACAAGGTGGCTTAGTCTGAAATAAAAATAACTCACCGCTTCAACACAAACAGCCTTCAACTGAGCACCATTAAAATCATCTGTACATCTGGCCAACTCTTCATAATTTACATCTTTACTGTAAACATAATTAAATAAATTCATAATCAAATAATTTATATCAAATAAATTCCTAATCAAATAATCTAATAAATTCCTAATCAAATAATCTAATAAATTCCTAATCAAATAATCTAATAAATTCATACTGCTTCCTCAATCATAATAACATTTATACACATTTACTGCCATTGCTAAAGACCTCCAGAGAATTATTGATATAAAAAATGTACCATATGTTAGTCCCGAAATAATTTAGTTTGTGTTAAGCAGATGTTAAAGATACCTTATGTAAGAGCTAAATCTGCCTATTGCAGATCTCTATTTGGCCTCAAATTTCCATGCCAAGCCCATAATAAACTCTCTAGATCATAGCATGGATTTGATATTCAACGGTTTCAAACACAATTGAAGGTTAATAATTTTCAAAAAATGGATAATCAAGACTTTTCTTTATTATCGTAACAATGGTAGCAATGACAATCAAGACCACCATTCTTCCAACGGCCATATTGCCTTTTCATTATCTTTTTTTAACTATTATAGCGAGAACTGTCCGCCCTTAATCTAAATCTTACATAATGTATCTTAAAACCGTATCTCTCTTGTATGAAACAGAGATGAGATCATCAATTTAAATAACCAGGATGTCACTTCTGAATAGGATCTGTAATAAATTCCCTGTCATGTGACGTACCTGACGTTCATTTTTCGGGAATGAATCTGTAAAATTCTAGCTCTAGCTTCTTCATTAGGATGTGGGAATTCTATTTTCCTGTCCAAACGACCGGAACGTAATAACGCAGGATCTAAAATATCCACACGATTTGTTGCAGCGATTACCTGTAAATATATGTAAATCACAAAAATGAATTCCATAACATGGGCTCACTTATTACGAGCACACCAACTTCTTCAAGGAACCCCATACAATCCTAACGACTATACAACATTTTATGCCAGCCCATTCCCCAAGCACCACTGACAAGGGGAAACCACTCTGGAATATCCAGGTGAACTTTCTCTGCCCACACCACGATCGACCTGTTATAGCTGACAAATGATTGTTGCATGAGATATTTTTGGTGATGGGAACCGAAAATAGTATAACTACTAAACCGGAAGCAGTAGTGCAGCGCCACCAGGCCTATGTTAATCAAGGTCCGAGCTACCCCTATACACCAAATTTCAGCCTTGGGACAGCCATAGTGTAGTCGCCACCCCTCAACAAACAGACAAACAAACGACAGTGACAAATATTAGTATAGATTATACATACCTTGACCATCTGATTGGGTTGGAACCCATCCATCTGATTCAATAATTCTAACATAGTTCTCTGTACTTCCCGATCACCAGCTTTCTCACTATCAAATCTCTTCGTTCCTACAACATAATCATGTTATTTGTTGAAGTTTGTCCATATAAGATATATCTTACATTACATCTTGTCAATAAAAGCTTTTTGAATTAATGGATTTTATAATAATCTTTGAAAGACTTTAGTAACTGGATAGAGCAATAAACTATAACACATACTTATGGAAGAACAATTACTGATTTATTTGGGAGACATTTCAAAGAGTATTGTCTTAATGTTTTCAAGAATCATAATGAATGAAGCAAAACGATGATAAACTGGTCATATCAAGGGAGATAAATCTGTTTAAGAATTCGGAATCAGACCACAATTCAATTCGATCATGTTATCATCTTACTATGCCTATAACATTTTTTTAACCTTCTGAGGATTCTAATCAGTTTAGGTCACAATAATTTGTTGAAAAACACAATAATGAGCTTAAGCCAACGACAAAAACATAAATAGAAACAATTTTTAAAGTGGTGATGTGTAAATCGATAACTGAACACAAAATATAGGTTATTATCTGGACTAACATACGATACGGTAGATCCTTATTTCAATAATTCAAACCATTTGAAGTCAAAAGTAGAAAAAAAACTTACCAATGGCATCTAATTCATCAATAAAGATAATAGCAGGTGCTTTTTCTTTAGCTAGAGCAAAAGCATCTCGAACAAGTTTAGCTCCATCACCAATAAACATCTGTACTAGTTGTGGTCCAGCCAGTTTCAAGAAGGTGGATTTGGTCTGAGCAGCACAGGCTCTAGCTAGTAGAGTTTTACCTGTACCTGGTGGTCCATACAATAATACACCTGAAATTAAAATATGATTTGTCTTAATTTACAACTTTTTCTTCTGAAGTATAAATAAAATTACTGATCATATATTTAGAAAATAAAACCGAAATGTCTTAAACTATGTTTTAAAACTCAATGAAGTACTTTCTCAGATTTCAGACCATAGGAAAATCATGACGTATTGTCTCAGATTTCAGACCGCAGAAAAATCTTGAAGAACTTACTCAACTAACAAAGGGATCGGACCATAGGAAAATCATGAAGAAGTTACCCATCAACAACAAGATCGGGCCTTAGGAAAGTCATGAAGGATTTCTTAGTCAACAGAGTGATCGAACCGAACGAAAATCATGAGGAACTTTCTCAACCAACATAGGGATCGGACTGTAGGAAGATCATGAAGTTTTTTCTCGGCAAACAAAGGGATCAGACCGTAGGAAAAACATGAAGTACTTTCTCGGCAAACAAAGGAATCAGACCGTAGGAAAAACATGAAGAACCTATTCAGTCAACAATGAGATCAGACACTGGGAACTTAGGGAAGAGAGAGAGAGGAATGGGGTTGAACGTCCACTCGACACAAACTAGGTCATTTCAGGACTAACATATGGCTCAAGTTTATTTCAATAATTCACTTGTGCGTAGGGGTCTTTAGCAGTGGGAAGAAACCGGAGGACTCTATGACAAAACTTTTGATACAGCACACAAGCACTAACCATGTGACCGACCCCCCCCCCCAAGAATATGTGTAAACTTACCTTTAGGTGGTTGAATACCTAGAGCTTCAAATCTTTCCTTATGTGTCATTGGTAATACAACAGCTTCAATTAACTACAAATATATAAACACAACATGGATCTATGACTGTCTTCACCGAATAATGTTTTGCCCAAAAATGAGAGAAATGGGGTTAAACGTCCACTTTAGAATCACATGAATTTGGACAGGCAACCAGAAACCTTGTCACATACAAGGTAGGAATTGAAAGCATGCCACTTGACCCATTGGACCATTCAGCCCCCAACCCCCAACCACTCAGCCATCGACCGTCAGATAGTTCCTTAACATACTACAAGCAAGCTCTTGAAGAATCTCTCAGTTCCCTAACATACTACAAAGCAAGTTCTTGAAGAATCTCCTGTACCTTTTCAAAAGCATAATCTTTGGAATATCCAAATAAATACCTTATTGTAACTGAATGTTTGCATACTGCACCTGAGCACTTGAATGATGGATGAATGTTGTATATGTATAAAAAATATTAACTGCCCAATAATTTTACCTCTTGAATCTGTTTATCTAGACCTCCTACATCACTATATTGTTCAGTTGGTCTTTCATCCACTTCCATAGCTTTAACTCGTGAATCATATCTAATATAAATACAATAAGATTGATTAACAGGTTTACATGTAGGCCAGAGTGAGACAGAGAGAGAGAGAGAGAGAAATGGGGTTGAATGTCCACTTGACAGAAAATAGGTCATGTTGGGACTAACACATGGTTTAATTTTATCTAAATAATTCGCTTGCGTGTAGGATCCTATAGCGGAGGGTGAAAACCAATGGACCCAGAGAAAACCCACGGGCTTGGATAGGCGACCCTATACTCCTTGTCACGAACAACAGAGGAATCAAAACCACGCCAGTGTGCTACAAGGGACATCATGCTCAGATAACGGCGCTACGTCTTACTCTTTTACCTGCACGCCAATGTGTACAAGGGACCTCAGGTTTCTTATCCCATGCACCAAACGACTAGTCGTTGTCCCCTGCCAGGCCCTGGAAACAATTATCTTTAATAATAAATTTAATAAGGGACCATAGCAAAATTTTCAACACTTTCGTCCCGATGAATAAGCCATGGTTAGATCTCGAACCATACACCCACCTGCCCATCTGTGCAGACGGAGTAAGAAATAGCCCACCCACCTGTCCATCCCTGCGGACGAAATAAGAAATAGCCCACCCACCTGCCTATCTGTGCAGATGGGGTAAGAAATAACCCACCCACCTGCCCATCCATGCAGACAAAGTAAGAAATAGCCCACCCATCTGCGCAGATGGGGAAAGAAAATGTTGACATATTTCTGTCCATGATTCAATATTAAATAACAGATATTTAATTTATCATTTTCTATCCGAGGAGTCGTTCAACCCACCCCCCAGTTCCATGGCTTATTCGTTCGGATGCAAGTGTTAAAATTTGCGATGGTCCCTAAAATATATCTTACTCTGCAGGAAGAGTTTCTAGAACCAGATACGAGTCTTTGTTAACACCCTGAAATAGATAGATCATTATATTAAATGATTAACGACAACTGAATATTTCTATACAGTGGAATCTGTCACATTCACATTCCACTTATGAGAGATAGAGAGAAATGGGATTTAACGTCCACTCCACATAAGCTAGGTCATTTCGGGATTAAATATGGTTCAATTTTATTTCAATAATTCGCTTGTGCGTAGGGGTCTTTAGCAGTGGGAGGAAATTGGAGGACTTGGAGAAAACGCATGAGATTGGACAGACGGCCCTACTCCTTGTCTCGTATAACCATCGAATCGAAACCATGCCAGTTGACTCAATGACAGACCTTATGATACAGCGCGCATGTGCTAACCATTCGGCCATCCAACCCCCACATTCGGCTTCTGAATACTTTGTGACAGTCGTCATCATTTTCAAGTCCCGATTTTTGTCCTTCTTACATCAACCAACAAAGTCTGTATTCTGAACATTACGAATTACATCATCAATTGGACTTCCTGCTCCACTGACAAAGTGGAACCACGCTGGCCAATCCGGGTTGAACCTCTGGGTAAATGTACTCACCACTAAATCTCCAGGTTTGAGTTTTTCTTCATCAACCAGACCAATTACAGGTAAAAAATATGTCTGTAATATAAACAAATAATAAATTCATATACATGGGTTTGTTTCTATAACAACACTGAATTAATCACACAAATATAAACTGATTCAAGTCCTAGAAATGATTAAGAATCTGATTGGACTGACTAACCCTCACAATCTTTGAAAACACTATCACAAACAAACCAGTAAATTGTCTACAGTTATACGACACAATATTGTGTATTACTACTTTATTATCATTTCTTTTGAATTATGCGAGAGGGAAAGAGATAAATGGGGTGCAACGGTCACTCGACACAAAATATGTCATTTCGGGACTAACATGGTTCAATTTTATTTCAATAATTCGTGCGTAGGGGGAGGAAACCGTTGAACCCAGAGAAAACCCACGAGGTTGGACAGGCAACCCTACTTCTTGTCACGTACAACCGAAGAATCAAAACCACTCCAGTTGACTCAATGACAAACCTTATGATACAACAGGCACGCGCTAACCATTCGGTCATCCACCCCACCCCACCCTACCCTAAGAACTATAACCAAGGGGAACCAGCCTGGTGACTCTCCGCCCAAGCGATGTTCTACTTATATTACCTGTCTTGTAGATGTTTTGATAACGGCACATTTTCCTTTTCTCTGGGCATCCAAATCAACATTCCCTCCTTCTTCTTCCTCGTCTTGAGGATCCATATCTAACAGCTACAATAAACAACCATTTTATTTTAATATGAAAACTAAAAGGCCGATATCTCAAAACTTTAAAGCTACTGAACAACATTTTCACTATACCTAATTTTTTAATTTTTTACAAGTTAAACATACATTATGCAAGAGTTAAATATGCCAATTGCACGTCTTTCTTTAGGCCTGAAATGTTATCTAAATTATCAATTAGACATTTATTAACATGACAAGACCATAATCAACTCTCAATGTCATAGCTAGCCTGCTATATTTACTTGATGAAAATCCGATCTGCTGCTCTGCGGACAGTGACCCTACGGCCTACTCTTATATTGACTTCCAACTGTCAAGTGCACGCCAATGTGTACACGGGACCTCGGTTTTTCGTACCATCCGAACGACTAGACAGCTGTCCTTGTCAGGCCCTCCGTCCTGCATCACTGACAAGGGAGAACCATGCTGGAAAATCTTGCAATCAGTTCGAAATGAAAACAGAGTCATTTCCTTTGCTATGGAGATGACTGCAGAGCCTTTAGGCCATCCTTGGTAACCCCCAGTTGTATGATTCTACTCCATTAACACCTGGGTATATTCACTGGGTATTCACAAAGTCAAATCATTGGCCAATCAAAAACAGTTTATATACCAGTCTTAGCGTCATTGTTGACATTTACCACAATACAGCAGCTTGTATGCTCGATTACAAGAAAGTTTGCAAGAAATTTAATTACAAGAAGTGACATGCACACAAAATGATGTCTTAAATTATTTTGACAATGTTTACAACAACGATTCGCAATCTTTGTTGCAACAAAATGCAAGTTACTTCCTTTCGGCAACTTGCTTTCTTTTTTGAGAAGTTTTGATTGATCGCTAAAAATACCACAATTATCAAGGGCAGATAACTTGACTATGTCTCCCCCTGGGGATACAGTAGTTATTGATTGACTTACCTCAATAACATTAGAAACAAGATATGGCAGGGTTTTATTGACTTTTATCTTCTCTTTATTCTCCTTGATCTTTTCTTTCTGAGCCTGGAGTTCATGGGATATTCTCATAATTTCTGACTTCATGATCTACAATTTAAACAAAAAAAAATTTATTAGTTCAAATCTTGAATGATATTTAACTTTTCTCTTATTAGCACTAAATAGTACTTTAGAATAGCTTGTTGGTTGTTATTATTATTAAGTTATATTTGTCCTATTTCAGTTTAATATCGGCTTTCTGTATAATACTGCTTTCAATACGTAAGACGCTGGTTCACAAACACTATGGGGCAACTGTCGCCCCATTTCATTTCTATTGACTGGAAGTTTATTGTCAGAATCTCACCTTTATTTCATTATCAAGTAATCGTGTTCTGCTGACAATCTCATCTGTTGACATTCGCAGAACTTCCTCCCCCAACGATTCCTGAAAGGAGAAAATTATAAACCGGTACATTTAGTTCAAAAATAAAGGAAAACACAATAGGGATTCAGGAAACTATAATAATTATCTGTTGACAATCAGTACAGCAACATTTCTTCAGATCTAGTCATCTAGGCCTATATTTTTTTGTACACTAAGTCCAGGCCCCAAGTTCACAAAGCATTCTGAGATTTAAGTAAAGAATTAACTCAAAATTGTTCACTTTATTTTAAACATACATTATGCAAGAGCAAAATCGGCCTATTGTAGGTCTTTCTTTAGACCCAAAATGTTATAAAAACTATTAATTAGACATTAATTAGCTTATACAAACCATAATCAACTCTCGATGGTAAGGCTAGCCTGTGATATTTGTTGGATTATAGTTCGAATTGCTGCAAAACTTTCCCTTCGTGATTAACGATTAAGTGGATAATCGAGACTATTAGTATTGTCTTACCGACTTCAGTAATGATGATCGAGGCTAAGCGGAACTTTGACTCGCTTAGTTCTCGGTTCATAGTGGATCAATTTGACGAAAATTTTCAGCAAATTGCTTTTACAGTATGTAGTTTTTAACTATTATAGTGAGAATTGCCAACTCGTTATCTAATCTCCCATAATGTATCTTTAATTAAAATATAGTCCTTTATAAAACTTGTGTCGTTTCAATGTATCAAATACATCAATAAGAAACTATGCGGAAAGTTTTGTGCTTCTGGATCAAAGATATTTCTCATAAACAGTGATTGAAAGTCGAGTAAATTCTTAACTTAAGTCTGAGAATGCTTTTTTAACTTGGGACCTGGTTTTATAACTAAACTAGCATGTTCCTCAACTAACCGTGGCAGGCAAACCAAATGATTGGTAAATTAAGCATGCAAATTAAGTAAGGCATAATTCAGATGCAAACCATCTGTGCCTGCTGTTTTTTCGTCAAGCAGATTTGCCTTGTTTTTGTTTTTACGTATTTATAATGCATGTCACTGAAGTCACTGTCTGGAAATTTTATCTGAGTGATACGTAGGGGTGATGATTTTCCGTGATCGCGGAAAAAACGCGGAAATCGCGGAATTGTCCACTCAAAACGGAATTTGAAATCTCACACGGAAAAAGACGGAAAAGCCGATATTTGCTGATACTAAACACAAACTCAAAATAATTTTGCAGTTATCCAAGTATTTTATCTTTTTATTCATAAAAATCGGAAATATTGAATGATATCGCGTGGTTTTGTTACTGTCTATTTTAGTATTTCGCTACTTTCATTTCATCATTTAGGAATCATAATTTTAATCGAAACGAAAACCCGTCTTTCATGTATCCCATTATAAAATTACTCTGTAGTTTAACTTGAATTAAACATTGTAATGTATATATATGTCTTTAAAAAAACTTCTGTCACTTCATAAAAGTAAAAATCGTTTCATTTACTTCTTATTTTACTGCCGGGCTCGTGACTCGTGTTTATCCGCATTAACCACGTGACATCAGAAATATACCGTAGCCTTGTGAATCCAGCCCTTATTCTCGAAGAAACGGTAGTAACTACGAAGATGTCTGGATAAATCGCGACTACACCTAGCAGCTGAGAAACATGACTTCGTCTGCTAAAAAGATGAAACGAGCTCACAAGATGTAATTTTCTGTTATTTAATTCGGGAAACAGGTTTAAAGAATAACTAGTCATTGAACATTACAAGTCATTCACAATTCAACATTTGTTATCATTGGTTTAAAATGATCCGTTTTGTAATAAAAGGCATTTTAAGATGTTTTATTCATTTATTCATAAAATAACATTTTATCTCGAAAAAACGGAATATGGTCAGCTCTGAAACGGAAAATAACGGAATTAAAAATACTTAAAACGGAATTTGCTATTTTCTGAAACGGAAAATCATCACCCCTAGATACGGTAGCGGTTAAAAACATTATTTTCAGGTATGTCTTAAATTGACGAGTCGTTGGAAACATTGAATGTTAATTCACATACTAATAGCAGATCATCAGTTTTTTAGCTCTGTCAATAACCAAATAATAACAAATAAATTGTCATGGCATGAAAATAAAATGATGAAGCAAAATTGAGCTCACACTACTATTGACCACATGTTCAATTCTGCATTGTACGTAACAAATCTGTGGGGAAGCTTTTACTAAATCGTCATTGATGTATAGTTCTAACATTTATGTGTCACATTATATAGAAAATTCGTAATTTAATCCATAAACTTGGGTATAACAAACCTCTCCATCTTCCCAAATTGCAGCAGCTTCCAAAGTCGCCATTTTTACAGATGTTACAAATTGTGACTTACAGGAAAAAGACAGTGAAACGAAATACTGATTCAATAAAATGCTTATATTACAGGAAGCTTAAATAGAATACAAATTTTAATCGGTTAGATGACTTATATGGATCAAATATTTATTTCATTCCCGATAACAAAAGTATTTTCATATGATTGACAAATTCGTTTCAGATTAACGCATTCTATAAAATAGATGTAACCCTTAAGTAAATTGAAGGATCAACATGCTTGCTAAAGGGTCAAATGTTTATGAACAGTAATTTGTTTTAAATAAAAGAAAGAAAGGTATTCCTTGATAATATTTCCATTGCATTCATGTGGTTTAACAAATTAATGCTAATGACATGATATTAAATGAAATAAATGACCCAAATCGGTCATATTGCATTTTGAACATTTCATTTGTAACACTTCACCAATCCAGTTCTTCAACTTCAGATCAGTTTTTTAGATTTTAGAAATTAGATGTCACACTGGCCTCATATCATGAGGTTTTCTTTCGTGACAAATGTCTGCTGCAGATGTGAAAATATTTTGGACCCTTTGGGCATAAAGTATTATCTAACTACCCGTACTATAAAAAAAAACAGGGTTCGATCGTGCTTGTAGCCTACACTTTGGTGTGCTTGTAAAAGAATCCTTGACAGTTTATATTCAATAAGAGTAATGTACAAATGAGACACATCATGGTTGAGATAATGTACAATCAACAATATGTTGTTAATGATAATTGTTTATTTTCTTTTATCACCCAATAATACATTCCACAGTAGATATCGCTTGTGTGATATATTTCATAATCTACTGCGATATCTCCTTTCGCTTTACATGAATTTGATTGGTCAGTTGAAAAGGAAATCCTTTTTTTTATTTTCAAAGAACAGTTCATTTATTATTAAAAGTAACTTTTTTTTTTCAAAAATGAACTATTGTTATTCATTTGACCTTGATGGAAACACTGGGCCAATATAAAGGACTTTGCAATGGTTGAATTGCTGTCAAAAAATGATGTATCACTACGCCGGAATGTTCAGTAAAAGTGAAATCTACAGCAAAGAATTATATTTATCTATTTGTGTATGTAAGAACGGATTGGGTGATAAATAAAATCTCCTACTCGTCTTTTTTTATATGATAAAGTAAAACAAAACTCGGCAAAACATTCCTTAGCAGTTGGAATTCGATATAAGAGTAGGTCATAGTGCCGCTGCCCAGACAAAATTTCCTGAATAGCACACTGTATGGCGTAGGCCGTCTTCCATTAGCCCAGTATAGGAGCAGAACAGTAGGATGTTTTAAACCCCATTTCATTTCATTTCACCTGTCTATACTGCTCATTAAGTGACGACATTGTTGATATATAGTTGATGAAATGTTGCAGTGTAATCAAGCAATTGCTGAATGCCATGTAAGGATAATATAAACAAGATCTATCTATCTATATTTTCAGATTAAAAGACAGTAAATCAAGATGCCAAGAATTAAATATATCAGCCATTTAAAGATCAGACTCAAATTATATGGATGTACAAACCGGCCATTTTATCATATTGTTGTCATGCCCCACAAGAAGCCACGACAGGGAAAGGAGCTCGAACAACTCGGGACTTACGATCCCATGCCAAACATGTTTAACGAAAAATTGGTATCTGTAAATTTTGAGAGAATTCAGTATTGGTTGGGTAGAAGAGCTGAAATAAGTCGTCCAGTTGAACATTTATTAGGTAAATATAATCAAGCATGGCCATTAGGCACCTGCAACAGACTTTGACAGACACACAATGCAGATCCAATTTCGTATCGTTTTTTGTAGTTCAAAATTTTGTTTTACTTGTCTTTACTACACTAGGATCTGAAAGAGTTGTTATATAACCGGCGTTCTGGTTGATGTGAGGGATTAGCCAATGAAACGGTCTGTTGCGGCAAGTTCTTGGCTTGCGATGCACAGAACTGTGGGTATTCCACTAGGAATATCAATGCTGATTGGTTAATCAAATATCTGATTTCAAAGGTCAAAAGCCGCTCGTATAACCCCTTATGCAGCTTCCCACTACAATTGGTCAAAAGTATAAAAAATGAACTGAAATATAGATCTGTATTAACGGTGGTAGTTCCAAAATGATCTAGCTAGTATTGAATGGATGTTAATCCCCATTTTTCTATTTCTGGTTTTTAGGACTATGTGGATTTCTTCCCATTCATCCAACAAGTTATTTAGAAGCTACAAGAAACCGAAAAAATATGGCTGAAGCAGAACTAAATAAAGAAGAAAAAGCTGCGAGTGGTAGTTGAAATATTCCGATGAATTGTTGTCACTCATTCATATAAAACATGAGTACGGTGTGTTGGATTGTGCACAATGTGATATTCTAATGCATTGTGACGTCATCTAAGGGTGCACTTAACATGCCAATCGTACATTATTTATACTAGATGAAATATTGGACTCATGTGACATTTTTCATTGAATAGCATGTGCGGGATAGTGTCTGTATTTTAAGTTGTTTAATGGTCTCAAGCAAGATGTTGCATAATATATTGAAACAACATCTTCTTCCAGTATCCATATAATTATAGGAGAACACTAGATCGGAGACGGTCCTGCATATATGACGTCATATGTGGGTTAGGGTAAGGGTTAGGCTTGGTCCAGAAATGAAATGGCGTTTAACGTCCTACTGTTCTGTGCCTGACCTGGGCATACGCCATACTGATTCCTATGAGGGAAATTTTGCCCGGGCAGCGGCGCTACAGCCTACTCTTATATCAAATTCCAACTGCCAAGGGATCTTTTACGTGCACACCAATGTGTACACAGGACCTCGGTTTTTCGTACCATCCGAATGACTAGACAGCTGTCCTTGAGGCTTGGTCCAGGGTTAGGGTTTACGCTAGGCCTGTTTACATCTCGAGACTTTTACAAAATCTGCAGGTCCTAATCCTTACTATAACCCTAACCCACAATCTACATATATGACGTCATATGTGTGCTAAAATCTATCGTTCTCCATAATTATAACTTAAGGTCTTACTTTCAACCATTAAACCACACATAATGAATGAATGCGTTAAACTGTTTTACGTCAATGACAACAGAGATAAAGACACAGTAAACTATATTATAGTGTAATTACTAAATTTGGTGTAAAAACAAATTGTACATGTACAGACCGTAACTTTATAGTGTATTTTTTTTAAAACCAGAAAACCAAGAAGTATTCCTGGTTATTCAACCAAGTATTGCAGTTTGTACATAGTATAATTTTCTGATATCAGAGTATTATGTATTAAATAGATAACGAGCTGGCTGTTCTTGCTATAATAGTTCAAAAATAGATAATAAAAAATGAATATATTGAAAATTTCACATATTGTCTGGGTTTGGATGGCCGAATTGTTAGCACGCGTGTGTTGTATCATAAGGTCTGTCATTGAGTCAACTCCCCAATTGTACGTGACAAAGAGTGGTGTCGCCTGTTCAGCCTCGTGGGTTTTCCCAGGGTCCTCAGGTTTTCTCCCACTGCTAAAGACCCCTATGCGCATGTGAATTATTGAAATAAAATTGAACTATGTGTTAGTTCCTCAACAACCTAGTTTGTGTCGAGTGGATGTTAAACTCCATCTGCCTTATCTTGTTCAAAATCCAAATCTCAAGGCTTCATTTGTTTTATCTCATAGCAAACTGTATACGCCTATCTTCATTAGCCCAGTCGGTCCGAAAAGTAGGATGTTAAACCCCATTTCATATATGCATTTTCATTCATTGTTGTCCATATTTGGCTGGTGAACTGTAAAGGACTCGCCTTAATTTGCAGAAGTCAAAAATCACTCCCTTAAAAAGCTTGTACAAGGTGAGGGATTTGGTAGTTGAGTCTGCACAGCCCAAATTGTCAAGTGTTATTGGAGTTATCTCCCTTTGATCAATACAGTACCTCGAAACTTTGATTGTATGTTGGGAAGAGTTTTTGTTGAGCTTAGAAAATCAAACTATCAAAAATCCAAACACCTGGAAATGGGGTTTAACGTCCTACTATTCTGCTCCAACTGGTCTAATGAAGACAGGTATACACCATACATTGTGCTAAGAGGGAAATTCTGCTCGAACAGCAGCTATGGCTTACTCTTATATGGCATTCTAACAGCCAAGGGATCTCTTACATGCATGCCAATGTATAGACAGGACCTTGTTTTTCTATCCCAACCGAACGACTAGACAACGGTCATTGTTAGGCCCTAAATCCTACACCACTGACAAGGGGAAACCACATCGTGAAATCCTGATGAACTTTCTCGGCCAATGCAGGGACCTCCACGCTAGCGGGCCACCGTAGCTACTATACTTCTTGGTAAAGGGGAAGACAAACATTGATTTTGGACAATTTGATCATTTCTGATATTACTGCAGCAGTTATGTTCCTTGATTACAATTTTTTTTAAAACCTACCTTTAATCACTTTTGTCCTTGTGGATTGGATTGAAAAACCTTGCTGAAGATCTTCAGGCATTCCTTTTGAACTTTATTAAATTGAAAAATGAAATGGGGTTTAAAGTTCTACTGTTCTGCTCCATCCGGAAGATGGGAATACATCATGCAGTGTGCTGTGGGAAATTTTGCCAGGACAAAAGCACTACGACCTACTCTTGTTTTCCTTGACATGGAGAAACCACGCCGGAAAATCCTGATTTACTGTCTCAGCAAGCATCTTACTCATTGAGTCACTACAGCTCAGTAAACACAGGTCCTTGGTTCAATCCTGGTGTGGGGGTTGGATGGCCGAATGGTTAGCACATGCACACTGTATAGGCCTGTCATCGAGTCAACTGGGTTGGTTTCGAATCCTCAGTTGTACGTGACACCGAGTAGGGTTGCCTGTCCAACCTCGTGGGTTTTCTCCAGGTCCTCCGGTTTCCTCCTACTGCTAAAGACCCCTGCGCGCAAGCGAATGATTGAAATAAAAAATTAAACCATATGTTAGTCCCTAAATGACCTAGTTTATGTTGAGTGGACATAAAACCCCATTTC